CTACTCAGGAGGCTGAGGCAGGAGAATTGCCTGAACCCAGGAGGCGGAGGTTGCGGTGAGCCGAGATCACGCCATTGCACTCCAGCCTGGGTAATATAAGTGAAACTCCGTCTCAAAAAAAAAAAAAAAAATTAAATAAGTAAATAAATAAATATCAGAAAAGTATGGGAAGTTCACTTTTAGACTTTTGGGGGTTTTGTTTTTGCTTTTTTGTGATGGAGTTTTACTCTTGTACCCAGGCTGGAGGGCAGTGGTGTGATCTCGGCTCACTGCAGCTTCCGCCTCCCACGTTCAAGCCATTTTCCTGCATCAGCCTCTCCAGCAGCTGGAATTACAGGCACCTGCCACCATGCCCAGCCAATTTTTAGTTTTTAGAAGTTCTATAGTATTTATTGAAGTTTATGTATTGCTATTATAACAGCAAAAATGCACACCGCATTTATTTTCTTTTCCTTTTTTGTTTTTGAGACGGAGCCTTGCTATGTCACCCAGGCTAGAGTGCTCTGGTATAATCTCGGCTCACTGCAGCCTCCGCCTCCTGGGTTCAAGCGACTTTCCTGCCTCAGCCTCCTGAGTCACTGGGATTACAGGCACCGGCCATCACACCCGGCTAATTTTTGTATTTTTAGTAGAGATGGAGTTTCACCTTGTTGGTCAGGCTGGTCTCAAACTCCTGACCTCGTGATCTGCCTGCCTCAGCCTCCCAAAGTGCTGGGATTACAGGTGTGAGCTACCGCGCCTGGCCCACACTACATAAAATAAAATGCTAAATTGAATGGCATTTTAAAAAGAGACAGACGGGAAACTTAATACTACCATATTTAGGGGGAAGGAGATTGGAAAGAGGAGGACTCGGTAGAGAACTAAGATGAAGTAGTGAGGCAGGAGGAAGGCAGACCCGGCTGCTGCTGGGTCTGCCAAACTGAGGATTAGGGTTGGGGGCACCCGCTGCCTTGACAGGTACACTGCTGAGGGGGTGGAGGGGTGAGGGAAGACATCCAAGGGCGACAGAAGGAATGAGAGAGAGGAGCTGCTGGCCGAGAGGGACAGCTCTTCCACGGCATTTTGCTGAAAAGGAGCAGTGAAGGGAGCTGAGGCAGGAAGAGGAGGGAGGACAGGAGCGTGTTCCTGGTGCAGGGGTCGTGGTACTGATGTTCACCATGGGGACCACGGCAGAAAGGGACGAGGTGACGGCTGCAGAGGAGAGGCGGTGATGAGCTGTGTCGGACAGGGCGATGCACCTTGATGGCTGATATGAAGGCTCTGGAAAGGCTGGTAGGTGTTTTGGTGGGAGTTTTGGGAAGTTCTTTATTTTCTGGGGGGAAAGGGCCCCCCTCTGTCTCCCAGGTGGTGGTGCAGACACGGCTCATTGCAGCCCGAACCTCCTGGGCTCAAGCGATTCTCCTGCCTTGGGCTCCCAAAGCACTGGGATTACCGGCGTGAGACACCATGTCCCAGCCCACAGAGTTTGTGCTTTAGATCATCTTTCTTTTGATACTTTCACTTTACCGTAAATGACTGAAAGCAGCCAGTTGGCCCTTTGAACTCTGTCAGGAAGCACTTTCCATCCTCCACGTTCCACAGACGATGGTCTTGCCAGAACGTAAATAGTCCACACTTTCTCCAGCTTACAATAGCAGCTTTCTCACGATCCCTCCAGCCTCCTCCTGCTGCCTGGTTCCAAAGTCAATGCCATATTTAAAAAACTTTTGGCCGGGCGCGGTGGCTCAAGCCTGTAATCCCAGCACTTTGGGAGGCCGAGGCGGGTGGATCACGAGGTCAAGAGATCGAGACCATCCTGGTCAACATGGTGAAACCCCGTCTCTACTAA